CACAAAACATAGAAAAAATTCACGCCACCAAACAACCACACAATCGAAAAACATTGCGATCTTTCCTAAAAGCTGTGAACGCCTATAAAGAGTTCATTCCGGACCACGCCCGCTTGCGGACACCACTTGTCAACCTTCTAAAAAAGGATGTCGTGTGGGTCTGGAGTGACGAATGCCAGAAAGCGTTCACTAACCTGAAAGAAAGCCTTACCACACACCCCACATTACACCTTTACCAGGAAGATCTGCCATGCCAGGTGTACTGTAACACCTCAACATTCAGCATTACAGGCGTTCTTAAACAAGTCTACCCTGATGGGAAGACATACCCAGTTCAACATTTCAGCCGATCTCTGCGTAGTCACGAGCGAAATTATTCAGACTTGGAACTACAATGCCTAGCCATTGTGGAAAGTGTGGATAATTTCCGCACCTGTCTAATGGGCAGAAAATTTACAATATTTTCTGACCATCCCGCATTGCAGTGGTTGAAAGAGATCAAAGCTCCGTCAGGCAGATTGTTTCGATGGAGGTTAAGATTGTCAAGATACGAATATGAGGTCCGTAGCATAAATGGAGTACAACAATATGAAACGGGCGTTGGAACTCGTATCCCATTTTGTGGCTTTCTAGATGCGCCACTCATACAGAGCCAACAGTCTTCTCCACCGAGAAAATCTCGCGTGACTATGGATCACAATAAACTGCGCACCGTCTCCCGAAAAGGAGTACTTAAAACTATAGTCCCAAGTTCACTTACAACCAGACTTCTTAAGTCCGTACACACTCAACACCACCATCCAAACATCTCCAAGATGACGAGGCTCATCTCAGCACAATATTATTGGCAGAACATGACACAAGACATCGCAAAACAAGTAAAAACCTGTCCCACCTGCCGATTCGCTAGAAGAATCGATGAATACAACCAACCTTCACGTAAAAATACCGACACAGGCACCAAAGCAAAACAAGATTCGTACATAAAGCACAGCGTACACACCACACAAACAATGCCAAAATTACCACATCCACGTCAGAGAAACGATCACACATCTCAACCTAAACCAATTACCGCCGACATATCTCTAATAAAACCATTGACTATCAAACAGGAGAACTGTAAACCTGACAACCAATTCAATCATATCACACCACTCCCTAAAGATATCAAACAAGAGAACTGCGAACCTACCAATCATTCAAATTCTACAATTCATAAGGTTCAAACAAATATTTCAGAGTCCCCAGTTACAAAAATGTGGACGAACATGGGGCAATATCCTATCTTTCATCTGATTTTTATCCTTTGTTTATTAGTTCTACCGTACAACTGTATCCCAATTTTATTCATTAATTACTTGTTTATCTATGCCATGCCCGCTCAGAAAATTTTCGAACTACAAGAAGCAGTTTTTCATTGTGGACAAACATTTATAAAACTTCTCATAATTTTAGGAACCATCTTCGCAGAAAATCTAAATAAACTCCGAAAAGATAGCAGTAACTGAAAGATGACCAACCAGTGTCGGAGAAATCACGCTCCAAAAACAAGATCTGAGCCGCACCAAAATTAAATAGACGGCAGGAAACGAGAATTTTGAGACACCACGACAGGAGTGTAGTCCGCGGCGGTTAAATTCGGCCTCTGTAAACAAAGCGGAGCGCCTTCGTCCGATCTCCAATTTCATTCCCTCTCGTTTGCCCGACACACCCCACTTCCGTATCTCTAATTACAATGAGAAGATCCCCTATTGAGGTCAACTGGGAACCTCGCTATGCCACCGATTTTGATTCCAGTTCGAGTCTACATATCGATTTTTACCACCCAATTCCACATCCACGGGACAACACATAGAACTAGCTCACGCATTTCTTACACAACAGACTTCTAACATTTTTTCACAACACACACACAAAGACAAAAAATTACACATAAAGGTTATATAGATTTCCATGTCTCCTGTACACACAGCATAAACGCACTTGAGGGCTAGAATCACGTTTTTCACCTAAGTGTCACTACAGATGAGACAAAAAATTTATAGGGCATAATTGAGCAAGTAAAACATTTATAGGGCAAAATGGAGCAACCAATACATGTAGATCAGGGCATGTAGATACCAAAGGGTTCCAACCAATACACCTTATTTTTCATATCAATCATTTTCATTATTTTCTCTCAATTAAAATTTAAATATTTAATCAATTTATCAATTTATTCAACTTATTACCACTTTTAAGCATTAATTATCATTTTTTTTTCAATTAGTTTATATTATCATTTTTATTTATCAATTATCATTCTATTTACCACTTAGCTTATACTGCCACAACTCAATTATCAACGAAAACTCACTGGCTTTCGATTAAACTAAAAACATTAAATCACCCTTTGTTGTTGAAACCTTTTTATTTTTCATTTTTCTTTTTTTTCCAAGCACTCAACTTTGATTTCATTCAACTTTTATTTTTATTTTATTTTATGTTGATTTCTCAAAAGCCTTAATAAAATTCCCTCGGTTTCCATTCCCAATCTCGAGCTAGAATAATGGTTAGGCATTTTTCCTTTTTTTTTTTTCCCACCATTCAACCAAGCACTCAACTTTGATTTCGCTCAAAAAACTTTTATTTTATTTTTATTTTTGATTTCTCAAAAGACCTAATAGAATTCCTTCGATTTCATTCCCAATTTCGAGCTAGAATATGGTTAGGCATTTTTCCTTTTTTTTTCACCATTCAACCAAGCACTCAACTTTGATTTCGCTCAAAAAACTTTTATTTTATTTTTATTTTTGATTTCTCAAAAGACCTAATAGAATTCCTTCGATTTCATTCCCAATTTCGAATAGAATATGGTTAGGCATTTTTCCTTTTTTTTTTTTTTCACCATTCAACCAAGCACTCAACTTTGATTTCGCTCAAAAAACTTTTATTTTATTTTATTTTGATTTCAAAAGACCTTATGAAATTCCCTCGAATTCTTTTCCAAATTCGAGCAAAAAAAAAGTAACTAGGCATTTTCCCTTATTACCATGCAACAAAACAATTTTTCTTTTTCAACCAAACACATTCAATTTTGATTTCATTCAACTATTTTATATTATTTTATTTTGATTTCAAAAGCCTTAATAGAACTCCCTCGAATTCATTTCTTAACTCGAGTAGAATTCGTTTAGGCGCATTTTTTTTTTTTTTTGCCCACTATGTACCATAACATTCATTGATTTCTTACAATTAAAAAATTTTTTGATTTCTATTAATTATACTCAACCTATATCACCAACACCATTCTATTTTACTTATTATATCGCCACCAATGCTTGTATATAGACTCAATACCCACAACTAATTTTCCCACAAAATTATTTTTCACTTTACAGAATTTTCTCAGGCTAACCCCTTCTTGAATTCTTCACATGTAGGGGGCGCATCTGTCATAATTTGTATATAATTAAATGCAACCCCGACCCACTATGTATGTACCATGTATGATTTTCAAAGATTTAATAAAAGAATAAGGTAACTGGAGGAAAGAAAGTAACAAAAGACATAGGAAGTAAATCTAGAGGAGAACATATTTATTAATAACGACGCAGTTAACCTTCTGACCCCGGGTCCCTGCGAGCTAAGTTTAAACCAACACTTCCTGGAAAAACAGGACGTATCTAGTGACCCGAAGTTATAAATGTTAAAGCTAGCACCCAATATTTCCGGCAAAGACAGGACGTATCTAATATCCGTCGAAGTTATAAGCGTCAAGCTACCCGACACTTCCTATCAAGCAGGCATGTCTTTCATCAAGGAGAGCCGCGGGCCAATCAGAAGACAGCACCTTAAGTAGGTCAACCAATAGGAAAAGATCATGTGACATCTCTCGACCAATCAGAGAGAAACTGAGTCTTGGTGTTAAATCGAAAAGCAAGAATGGTCAGTTACGTTTTCGCTCTCATAGGAACAACACCTACAGTTGTTCAGTGGCTCTCGCCGAGTTCGGACAGTTGCTCCTTCGCTTCCAACAAGGTAACATCTACTCTAGAGATCTCTCTCTCTCCGCTCATTTCATCTAAATCCAATCATCGCCATGTGATCAACTAATTAATAAGTCAAATCGCTCAGCCCTTCTCAAGCTTTCTTCCCTCCAACCCAGTTGCCTTTTATTTTCAAAACAATCACGTGTCCTGATTATTCCTAACTGTGTGCTTCACTTACCACTCAACGACTGCGCTTCAACCCAATCTCACCATTCGCACCCAACAACAAGAAACCCCGCAACGATATTGCCACATATATATATATAGATTTTATTCACACTCTCTCTTATTTTTAATTTTTATTTGATTTTTTTTTTTAGGATTGTTGAATGATTGTCCATAAAAGTTGTTAATTGTAGATTGTCCCTCAGCTTATTCTCCACATATATATTAGTTGAAAGTAGACAAAAGTAAGTTTCGAGTAAAAAAATGTTTTCACTAAAGTGCCAATTATCTATTGTTACGGTGTTGAAGTATGGTGTCGTGAGCCCCAAGCTGATACAGTAACCATGAAGTCCTACAAGGAACTCTGAAATGTGGCTGACTAACAGGACAATGGTACCCCTCCCACCTTTCCATGGAGCAACAAAATTTGGACAAGACACCACCATCTATTGTTACATTACAACTTCACACATACATATACTGTAGCCATTTTATAGCTTATCCATACCAAATAAACGGAGCTATAGAACCTTGTAAGTGCAAAAGCCAAACTGCACATGGAATACAATGACAGTAAAATTTGTTCCTATTTATTAACCACTTTGATCATGGCCTGTACTTGTACATATACTTGAGATACAATAAAACCTTTTGTCAATTGGTCGAATCAAGGCAGTCACATCTGCTTCATCTCAGGATTATGAAAACTAAATCTGGAGAATTTTTGGAAGTTTTAACATGATAAGGCACAATTTGGATTATAGATTATAGCCTTGAAGTTTTAACACAATATACATGCCTATGGCGATACCACGTTGAAAAAAAAACACCGGTTCTCGTCCAATTATCGAAATTAAGCAAAGTCGGACCTGGTCAGTATTTGGGAGGGTGACCACTTGGTAACACCAGATGCTGTAGGCTTTCCCTCAACACAATATGTGCAGTTTAGCAGATGCGCAAAAACTGAGAGAAACTCAAAAGAGTTTAGTGTTTTGTTGTTGTTTCTGGCAAATTGAAATTATATTGGACAAAATAAACTGATTGCTGAACATGATATGAAATTTGTGGCTTCTAAACATGTTAAAACTTTCATCTCTTGGCTGAAGACACCCAGCAGTTCCACATCTCTATCACCATAATGCTGCCCCCATACCTCTCAATGTTTACCTCAGAATCAGAAAAACCAATAAAATTGAACCAAGAACCTATTCTATACACAACTAGACATGTTGATAATACACAATTTGGATTATAGATTATAAACACATGGTAATAAGACCAAATACAAATAAATAAATAGTGTGTGACATTTCGGTAACAGCCTTGTTACTGAAACGTCACACACACTATTTATTTATTTGGATTTGGTCTTATTACCTTGTGTTTAACTAGACATGTTGTTGAAGAGGTAGGTGCTTGAACAAAGGTGTTTTCACAAAAATAAATTGAAGGTTATTTTTAAAAGTTTAAAGCAGTTGGCCATTTGGGAGAGTGATCACAGTTGACAGGTTTTGTTTTTTTCAAAATGATTATATTTGCAAATAGAGTAGAAAACACCTCTCTGTAAAGGACAACACCTAGTAGCAGAGCTAAAGTGTCCTTTAGAGGGAGGTGTCCTCATACCGGAGGAATTTACTAAATAATCAAAATTGTAATTTGGGCGATGAAAACTGTCCTTTATAGAGAAAGGTGTCCTCTAGCAGAAGTGTCCTTTCATGGAGGTTCTACTGTATTTTGAGACACATATTGCCCATGGTATCAAAGATGTTGACCTATGTTAGCTTTATGAAATATTATTTATATACCAATTCACTTCACTGCTAAATCTCATTGCAAGGGATCCAAGAGGTATCCTCTAGCAGGAGTGTCCTTTCATGGAGGTTCTACTGTATTTTGAGACAGTATTGCCCATGGTATCAAAGATGTTGACCTATGTTAGCTTTATGAAACAATTTACATTTCTATGCCAATTCACTTCACTGCTAAATCTCATTGCGAGGGATCCAATTGTAGCTAGAGCTACCAAACCTAGCTAGCACCAACAAAGTTGAAAATGTAACAAGACCTCATATCAGAAATCACATCAAAGTATCTACTTAGAGTAAAACTTCTTCTCACCTACAATTGATTCATCTTGTAACCTTCACACTTTTATTTAGGCTCCAAATTGTACCTTTTTACATATACAGTTAAACCTGTCTATAGCGCCCCCTCTTGGGACTCACCAAAATAGGGTGCTATAGAGAGGGGGTGCTCTAGACAGGTCACTTTTAATGTAAATCACATCATACTACGTATTTAAAATCGGGCGCTATAGAGAGGGAGGCGCTATTTAGAAGGGGTGCTATAGACAGGTTTAACTGTATATTTTTAAATTTTTATATCATTTATTATTTATATTATTATAATAATTTATTTTTCTCAAGAAAATATATATTTCAAAATCATAATTTTTTTTAAAACAATTTAAAAAAGAATATCAAAGTGTGGCAAAGATAAAAATTTTGATATCAACAACAATTGGCTTGTGAGGACGGAAGTACACAGAGAGAAAGGCTAGCAGTGGTGGGTTAGAACATAGTTCAACTTGCGACAAGCCCTCTGGACATCTTGTTGGGATATATCTAGATGCAACACCAGTCGCAACAAGCTCTCGTTGCGCGAGCTGCCTTTAATCTGGATCTTTTCCCCCAAGGCATCTTCCTCATCTTTTGGCACCTAGAACACAATAATAGGACTTGTGAGGTTTTAAAACTTGCAACATACAGTGGAACCATGTCCTCCTTGATAACACCAATTTGGCTATAGGGTCTAAAGTCACAAATTCTTACGGTTTTAAAATCCAGCCCCCCTCCCCGTATAATTACAACAATATAATTATCTAATAAAGTACAATTTGGATTATAGATTATAAACACAAGGTAATAAGACCAAATCCAAATAAATAAATAGTGTGTGACATTTCGGTAACTACATTGTTACCATCTTCATTCAGTACTTTTGTCTGAAGATGGTAACAACGCTGTTACTGAAACATCACACACTATTTATTTGGATTTGGTCTTATTACCTTGTGTTTGTAATCTATAAGTTAGACTAGCAATTTTTGGTTTAATAAAATATATGGGGATATAAATTCTTGAAGAAGGAATACAAGTTAACAGCGATGAGTTTCTTGTACACATCAACACATGGCCATGATAATTGTGGGAATAGAGGGTTGTGATAGCCATACTGTAAATACACCACCATATGTAGAAGGGGAAGAAGGCTGGTCACTAACTGGATAGGTTAAATTGATAAGGCACAATTTGGATTATAGATTATAAAACAAGGTAATATGGCCAAATTCAAATAAATAAATAGTGTGTGATGTTTCGGTAACAGTACTTTTGTACTTTACTTAGTACTTCAGTACTTTTGTCTGAAGATGGTAACAACGCTGTTACCGAAACGTCACACACAATTTATTTATTTGGATTTGGTTTTATTACCTTGTTTTGGATAGGTTAAATAAAAGAAACACGTCGCTGCTAACTTTTATTCCTTCTTCAAGATGATAGCAGGCGATTCCTTCTCTTGTTATATAAATTCTTATGTGAATCTGGTGCCCTCATGTGGCTCCAGGTAACATCTATTTGAGTTATGTGGCCAGTATACAGTACCTCCATCAACCTGTGTATCATCCTAGAGGCAGTCCAGGGCTGGGAAAGACGGATGATAAGGATGTTGGTCTGGACCACAGAGGGGTCCACTGTCACCCCTGGGTTGGCTGCTCCTTTGATGGCTGGCACCACACCACAGTTGGTCAGACAGTATTGTGCAGATAAGGTGTGTGTATGGAAACTTGGGTTTACTTGGACTCTAAGTATGTCAACACATCTGACCATGGTGGGTAGACTGCTTGTAGTGTAAGTACACCACATGTGTCTATGTATGTAGGGCCAGGTATTGATAATGGTGGATAGGGTAGGGATGTTTGTACACATCAACACATGGCCGTGATAATTGTGGGGATAGAGGGTTGTGATAGCCATACTGTAAGTACACCACCATATGGGGGGTCAGTGGAAGGATGGTCTAAACCGTTGGTTTTCGACCGCTATGACCCGGGTTCGATTCCCGCATTGACCACTTTTTCTGTTTAAAAAAATGCTCCAATGGCCCCCAATTCTTGCAAAAGTCCAACCCCACCAGCGAGTGCACGTAACCAAACGGAGCTCTGGCACATTTGTAAGTGCAAATCGAACTGCTTTTCACTTGTGTAGACATGTGGTGCACTTACAGTAAAAGCAGTCGCCTATTTCTACCCACCATGATTACCTTGGCCTGTACCACGTGTTGTTGTTGTTGTTGTTGTTGTTTCTTATCCCCTTGTGTAAAGATTACACGAATTCCATGAGTTCATGCTCCTCGAGCTGTTTTATGATGAGCAGCGGCCTCTCCCAAAGGTCCTGTTTAGTGCATCTAATGCAAGCCAAAATGTGTTCTGGAGCTGCAGGTGCCAAGCTACATTTTGGGCAAGTGGGGTAGATTTTGTTATTATTTTCTATCTTCAATGGCTTGAGATGGCCTGTTCTAAATCTTGTTAGTGTTGTTTGATGCTGTCTATTTCTGATGTTCAGAGCTCCTCCTGGGTTCACTCCACTGTACCAACTGTGCTTAGGTGGGATCCTCCAGTTCTTGTTTATTTTTGTTTTGGCTACTGTCTCTATTTCTTTAAAAGTAAGTTTATTTTTCTGTGGCAAGGGTTCTTTTGTGCCTTTTTTCGCTAGCACATCAGCAGCTTCATTGCCTTCAATTCCAACATGTGAGGGTATCCATTGAAGGTGAATTTTTGAGGTTTTTGAGAGTTTTTGGAGATAGCCAATTATGTTCCTGCTTACTTTGTCTCTGAGTTCCCCTGTGTGACTCAAGTGTTGTATGGCACTTCTACTATCAGTAAGAATCCAGATATCTTGATAATTAGTATTTCTGATGGATTTTAAGGCTTCATAGATGGCTATAAGTTCTGATCTAAAGACTGAGCAAAAATCTGGGTTTCTTCTGTTCATTTTCTCAATGCCATTTGTGGTTTTGATGAGACAGCCACTGCCAGTGTGTCCTAGCTCGTCTCTGCTACCATCGGTATAAATAGTTATTGCATTTTTAGGAATGTTATTAATTATTTCTAATGATAATTGTTTTAAGTATTCTGGATTTTGGCATTGTTTGTTGGTGGGTTCATTTAAAGAGGCATTAAAAATAACATTTTGTAGTGGTTTGCATGGAGAAATTTTTTCTGCTAAATAATTTTTTTCTACTTTATATTTTAAAAATCCATTTCTTTTGGCCAGGTGGAGAGGGCCTTCTTTTTTGAGTCTTAGATTGGATTCCCAATTAAGTATGTAATTGGAAGTTCTGTGTTTGTTTCCATAACTCTTGATTTTGTTTATATATTTTGGCAGATTGTAGCTTCTTCTATCCTTTAAGGGCATAATGTCTGCCTCGTAAAGTACAATATCATTAGGGCAGGTATTTCGAAGACCTGTAATAATTCTAGCTGCACTTAGTTGTATCCTTTCCAGTGATTTTAGATTTGTTTCAGATGCTGTACCATAGATTTGATATCCATATTCCAGGATAGGTCTAATTAGAGATGCGTAAGTTAATTTTAGTGTGGTTGCATCGGCTCCCCACTCTCTTCCTGAAATATATTTCAGGATTTTTAGTCGGTCTCTTCCTTTTCTAATAACTTCTTCAATATGTTTACTGGAGTTAATTTCAGGATCCAGGGTGTAGCCAAGATATTTAGGATGTTTATTATATTGTAATTGTTGTTCTTTCAGAATAATTTTTGGCCTTATTTTGTATAGTTTCTTATCGGTAGTAAAAAGACAGGTTTCAGATTTTTGGGGGTTAAATTCTAATTTATGTTTATT